ATCAAGTCGCGCTGAAATATATAGCTTTGACAAGCAATTCAGTTCCTCCGATGACGAACGTTAAGTCTGCCGCAAGAGTAATGATGCTATAGCGATAGTAGGATAAGTGTATTATCAATCGATATCCATATTTGTACTGTCATTAGTTTAAAGTTGTAAGTCGGACAGTGTCGTTGACAGCTATTAATTAGTGTCGAATTCTAGTTATATCTATATCTAACAGACTAACCGTAAGTACAGAAGTACAACAGTGAAGAGTGGTCGTTATTTCGTTGTGTGAAGCTATTGACCAACTTGTAGTCACAGTTTGAAAAGTCGATGACTGCTGTTGCAGCCAGTAAAGGTTGAAGGCTACAAATCCACAGCAAAGGTGGCACGATGAAGTCTCTAAAAGATGATAAACGGTGAATGCTGCGTGTTTGTTCGGTTAGTGAACAGAAAAATATCGAAAAGAACATAAGAAACCAAGAGTGTCACTCTGGACTCATGTCAATGATACCCGTGAAAAACGCTGTCAGTGTTGGGATAGAGGCGACAATATCGTTTTCAGTTTGCAGGAGATTCGCTCGACTGCATAAACTGATGATTCGCGCGAATGATATTGTCGTCAGACCACCAATTGAACTGGACAGGTTGTAAATCGTCGAGTAGTTGAACAGCCGATTGATGTACCGAAATCATCTGTTAAATAGCAGACACGAGGAAACAATGCTTCATAAAATAAAGTACGACATTGAAGTAGAATAACTACAATAGTTCAGATGTGTTACAATGTCAAGTCTAAATAACATCGTTCTTACGTATACTGACAGTTGCACTGAACGTTCGTTTAGGTATTATTAGCGTAACTGTTGGATGTGTGAATAAAAGCATATACGAAAACTACGGTTGGGTTCGTGGAGAATTTTCGAGGACGTTTAGATATTTTCCAAACCCGTATCGCATGTAAATAAACCGAAAATAGAATTAAAATGACTGTCGTGTAATAAAGAAATCGAGCCATAATTTACCGTGTGAATTAATAGCAAATACAAGGGGTATAATAAACATTAATTAAAATGGTAACCACCAATGTAACTAAGGTTTAGAGGGTCCAGGTAACGTGGCCATTTCGTAAAAGGCTGATACAAAGAGCTTATTACCTAGCGTTAAGTGACATATTAAGTACGACAACGTGTGTACTTGGGACATGGACTAAGCGTGCTCGTGTACATGCAATATGTTTTACCACAGTATATCGACTAACGAGTCATAAATGTACATGATTTCGACTAAAACTTGACGGCAGTGACAGAATATATGACTAGTTTACGTGAAAGCAACTACGAAATGTTATCACGCATCATAAATATAGTACGAAATAATCTAATAAAATTATGAAACTCGCCTGGGTTAATCTTGCCTTTAAGTAATGAAGTAGGCAGTAGTTTGAATCTGGATTATGTACGAGGTACTGTTGATTAAATTTTTCGATTAACACAGCGTTGTAGACTGAATTTGTATAAGTCCAGAATTAATGTAAGCCGAATACATAGCATTACCTGACGAACAGTCTAAATGAGATCTAAGATCGCAGGAAATTTATAGTTCAAACTCACCGTAATTTTCTAGCATTCGTATCCTCTGTTTGGCCATGGAACTCAGCAATTGGAAATTAGGCAGGCAGTGGTAAAAAAAGGCAAAACATTCTAGTGGATAGTGGTTAAGCAGAAAGATGAATTTATAGTCGATAGTTAATCTTGTCTTATTTATACCAGTGAATAAGTTACAAAGAGATGTGCGTTCGTGTTGCCTTGTGGCTATAATCACGAGTGGTTGATATTTTAACAGACATATTACACAGGAGCATTTACATGCTGCTAATGCTTGTTAAAGAACCACGATAGCCGATTATAATCGTAGTTGATTGGTTAGTTCTGTCGATTGAACTAAGTATTTAAGTTTAAATACTAATCAACATTGACATGAAGCAACGAAAGTTCACAGTGATAGATTAACATAGGCGATGATACAAATGAAAAAGAATAAGTATAGAATACAATAATAAAGATTATAGTGATAGGTTGCGTTACTCGAAGTCTTGCTCACCAGTGTAGATCACCAACGTAGATGATCTATGTCGAAATGATTGGAGGCCTACTCCAGTTAGACGTGAATGGTGTGACGAACCAACTAACGTCGAAGTCACACCTCGTGGTCAGCACCTTACGTGGACTACCCCCATTGACGTAACAAGGTACTATAGATGCTTTGAAGACTGTACAACACAAAGGACGTTATTACAGAAATATATTAGTTAAGGTAGATACAGGCGAAAGTAAGACCACTGTCGCATGGGCCAGTCCATGGCGTATGATTAACTAATGCGCGTTTGTAGTACATGACCTTGGCAGGGAGCGACGATCTGTTCGACATTCAGTGATCCAACTGCCGGATGATTTGGCTAGGGCTCAGTGACATTTCACTGGCCCTACACCTAGTTTCCTCACAAATGGACTAATTTGTAACAGGAAGAGTTACTCATGAAGACTTCTGGCTTCAGTAGTTTAACATATATTGACCTTCACATGGACAATAATCCACTCCATTCTGATGCCGTTCTACCACTAGGGTTTTTTTTTGAAGAACTATCTTAGGTTTTTACTCCTGTTTTAGTGATGAAAATTCAATCACTGTCACAGTCATTGGCTTAAGAAATGGTTCGCAAATGACATCTAGTATTCTAAAAACCATCATCATTTTCCGTAAATACTCGAACTTACTAATCATTGAAACAGTAGAAATGTTGTCTGTTTAAGTTAGTACTAAACACTTGTTGTTTCTCAGTTCCAGTAATCCATTATAATAATCGTCTACAGTTTCTTCATTCAGTGATCATAAATTAATAAAGCTTTACTCATGTTTGGGATGGGTGAGTAATCTTGACAGCTTAATGCTGTTTCTATTATTAGTCTCTTATGAGACTGCGAAATAGCGGTTAATACTAGATGTCTAAAGCCTAACTAAAGTCTTTATTGAAAACATGTGGATTATACCAGTTATAAGAAAAACGAGAAAAAGAGAATATTGTATCATAAAAGTTATTATTTCGTAAAATCAGTCCACTAATTTTGTGAAACAGCGACAAATAAGCTATGTTGCTATGATAAACTTGTTCGTCAAAGGAAATATTGCTAAAACGTTTCGTTGGCAAGGTTTGATTGCCGGCCACTATAGTTACTGCCCAGGGTTATTCTATAAGATCAATAATATTTGTATGATGAATGAAATCAAAGTTCATGTGAAACACTGATGCGACATAGATTTGAGTTCTCCTGAAAGTCACGGCTTGAAAACCATGAATGTATTAACTATAACTTCATATAAAGTGAGTTAAATGGACTTTAATTGATAATAGACACAACTTACTTCTACCTAGTTATATGAATTTTCTACAATAAGATAATTAATTCAGTGTATCAGAGTATTAGTAAGTATCACTTTAGGAAACAGAAGTTTACTCATGTCATGTACCTTCAAGATTTTTAATGAAGTGAAATAAACGTATCTTTCAATCTTCTTACTAGTCCGTAATTTTCAATAACAGTTTTGTATCAAATTGAAGTGTTCTATTATATATAGCAATTTTCTAACACCAATTACTATAATACTAGTGAGTCGATGAAAGAAAACGATGTCAAAGCAAGAAATTGGAAAAAAAAGTTAAGCTCTATTTTCTCCATAAGTGGCTCATTTAAATTGGGTCACTTTACTTAAACCCATTATTCATATGAAACTGTACAATGTCTACTTATTGAACTTTAGTTTTGATCTATATGACGTGAAAATAGTGGGGTTACAAGGATTAGCCATTCCGTAGTTGTAAAGTATATGTTCATGAAAGTAAAATGTTATCGCAAACAATTAATTGGTAATACATTTGAAACCACTATTAAAGTATACTTGACACCTAATGACATTCGTTAAAAAAACACTTTGTATCTCCTCTTATATTCTATTCATGTAGATGATGTTAATGGTTTTGAAAATAATGACATTGAATTTTTTCATCTGAAGAAAGATATGAAAACAATTTCCAGATTTTAGAGGATATACTTAACAAAGAATGACATTGAAAAATGACATATTAACTTAAGTTCATTAATGAGATTGTAACCAAAATTTCATATAATTTTCATTGGTTTGAAAGATGGTTTTAATTAGGATTTATTTACTAAAAAAAACATAACACTATTTCCTAACTAATTGTAATTATCAGTATAAGGTCGTGGAGATTGTTGAGTTTTTATCGAGATTCTTAACCGATCGATGTTAGACCACAATTGAAAACATGTAGGCACTGGATAGCCTTTTCATCCCAGTACTCGACTCCTCAGCAGTGCGTCTCCATGATCTCGCACGTGTGACTCAAATATAGTGCTTTCTGTCTAGCGTGAGAACCCTCATCCACCAAACCACAGAGCAACAACAATGTTGATTTCTAACCCTGTCGGGTGTGTGACAGTTACTCAAGAATACAACTGAAGATGGTCGCATAATATCGTGTATTGGTTGAAGTTATACATTAATCCTGCGTGCAGGATCATGGATACGCACTGCTGAGGAGTCCTATACTAGGACCAAATGGCTGTCCAATGCTCACAGGTTTACAATTGTGATCTAACATCGATTGGTCTATGATTTTAATTAATTGTAAGTAATTGACATTCATGTTTGTGTTGATCTAAAATATTAGTTGAATATACATCTATGAATACATTAATCTTATGTTTTTGTTGAAATTAAACATGTTGTGCATGGAATATCTCTTTTTCAGATATTAAGATGAGAAATATATTATTGAATAAGTACAGTACATAATTGTATGAGTAAGGAAAATTTATATTAATTTGTGATTTTGCCAAGCAATTTTTAAATTCAGGATTATAAAACATTTTATTGCTAATTGTGTAACTTTTCATACAACGTAGTGATTTCAGTCTTGATATTTTTTAAATATAGGCATTTACTACAACTCTTACAAATACTTGGACTTTAATTTCTCCAAGTGCCACTGATGTATATAAACAAATGTGTACTGGAGGACCGTTTGAATTTAATTTCAATATGTGTCCGGTTGAAAGACGTTGTTCATTCTTTACATGCTGGATCAACAGAATTGTGAATGGTAGTGCAGCTCTTAATGTCACAAATGTAGTTGTATATAAAAGTAGTTCAGATGTGCGGTTCTCAACCTCATTCTCTATAAATTTGACATCTGAACGTAGGTTAGTTTAAACTGATTAAATCCTGCGTTGTTGTCTATGAATTGTTTTATATGCTACTGTAACTAGACTTACTTACTTACTTACGCCTGTTACTCCTCGTGATGGAGCATAGGCCGCTCACCAGCATTCTCCATCCAATCCTGTCCTGGGCAATCCTTTCCAGCTCCTTCCAGTTGTTATTCATCCTTTTCATATCTGCTTCTATTATCCGACATAATGTGTTCTTAGGCCTTCCTCTTTTCCGCTTCCCTTCAAGATTCCAAGTTAGGGCTTGCCTCGTGATGCAGTTTAGTGATTTTCGTAATGTATGTCCTATCCATTTCCATCGTCTTTTCCTAATTTCTTCTTCAGCTGGAAGCTGATTTGTTCTCTCCCACAGTAGGCTGTTGCTGATGGTATCCGGCCAATGGATGTTAAGTATCTTGCGAAGACAGCTATTTATAAATACTTGTACCTTCTTGATGGTGGTTGTTGTAGTTCTCCAAGTTTCAGCTCCATACAGTAGAACTGCCTCGACGTCGGTATTGAAGATTCTGACTTTGATATTATTTGAAAGTTGTTTTGAGTTCCATATGTTCTTCAACTGTAGCAATGCGACCCTTACTTTGCCAATCCTTGTCTTTACGTCTGCATCTGAGCCTCCTTGTTCATCGATGGTGCTTCCCAGGTATGTGAGGAAGTCTACATCTTCCAGAGTTTCGCCATCAAGAGTGGTTGAATTGCTGTTCTCCGCTTTGAATTTGAGGACCTTGGTTTTCCCTTTGTGTATGTTGAGGCCTACTGATGCAGAGACTGCTGCTACACTGGCTGTCTTCATCTGCATCTGTTTGTGTGTATGCGATAATAGGGTTAGGTCATCTGCGAAGTCCAAATCGTCTAATTGGTTCTGAGCTGTCCATTGTATTCCGTGTTTTCACTCAGATGTAGAGGTCTTCATAATCCAGTCGACCATCAGAAGAAAGAGGAAGGGAGAGAGTAAACAGCCTTGTCTTACTCCGGTCCTTACTTGGAATGCATCTGTCAGCTGTCCTCCATGCACGACTTTGCACTGTAGTCCGTCGTATGAATTCTGGATAATATTGACAATCTTCTCAGGAACTCCGTAGTGTCGAAGAAGTTTCCATAACGTCCTCCTATTCACACTGTCAAATGCCTTTTCATAATCAATGGAGTTGATGTACAGTGACGAGTTCCACTCAACTGATTGTTCAAGGATGATCCGTAGTGTCACAATTTGATCTGTGCACGACCGATCCTTACGGAATCCAGCTTGTTCATCTCGAAGTTGGGCGTCTACTGCATTCTTCATCCGGTTCAGTAACACTCTGTTGAAGACCTTCTCTGGTATTGACAGTAGTGTAATGCCTCTGTAGTTTTCACATTTGCTCAGATCTCCTTTCTTTGGAATCTTGACGAGGTGCCCTTCTTTCCAGTCCATCGGCATTTGTTCCTCCTCCCAAATCTTTTTGAATGGAAGGTGAAGCATGTTTGTAGTTACTTCGATGTCTGACTCCAGTGTTTCAGCTGGTATGTTGTCGGGTCCTGCTGCTTTCCCGTTCTTGATTTGTCTGACGGCCATTCTGATTTCTTCCGTCGTTGGTGGGTTGACATCTATAGGAAGATCAATGTATGCTGCTTCGATGTCCGGTGGATTCATTGGAGCCGGTCTATTCAGGAGTTCCTCGAAGTGTTCTACCCATCTGTCCCCTGATAGCTTCTTCGTTGTATCGTAAAGCTGTTTCATATTTCCTTCTCTAGCAGCTCTTTCTGCCGTCGTTGCTAGTTCTTCCATGTACTTCTTCTTGTTGGTTCTAATGCTTCTCTTCACTTGCTTGTTTGCTTCTGTGTATTCAGCTTGTGCTTGGACTTTCTCTGCTTGCGTTTGGCTGTTGTTAATTGCTGTATTCTTGTTCTTCCTTTCTTTGATCTTGTCCAGAGTTTCTATAGAGATCCATTCCTTATGATGGTGTTTCTTTAGGCCCAGAACCTCTTGACACGTTGAAGTTAATGCTTCTTTGATGCCTTTCCAGTTGTCCTCCATAGTAGTTTAATCTTCTTTCAGTAGATCCTGTAAGGCGTGAAACCTGTTGTTGAGAGCTATCTTGAATTCATTGAGTCTATCAGTATCTCGAAGGAAGTCCTTACTGAACCTTTGTATTGCTGTTTGTCCAGTTGTCCAGTTCTCTTTTAGCTTCAGTTTTAAATTGGCCACAACTAGGTGGTGATCTGAAGCTATGTCAGCACCTCTCCTGGTTCTCACATCTTCCATTGTCCTTCGAATTTTTTTGTTGATGCAAATATGATCTATTTGGTTCTGTGTAGTGTGGTCCGGTGAGATCCATGTAGCCTTGTGTATACGTTTGTGTGGAAATATTGTGCCTCTTATGACCAATTTGTTGAATGCACATAGATTTGCAAATCGTTCTCCATTTTCGTTTCTTTCTCCCAGTTCATGTCGTCCCATAATATCTTCATATCCGGTGTTATCTATTACAACTTTGGCATTTAAATCTCCCATTAGAATGGTGAGGTCCTTTCTTGGGCATTTCTCAATGACTGACTGCAGCCGCTCGTAGAATTGATCTTTAATGTCGTCGTTGCTATCATTGGTGGGTGCATAACATTGGATAATATTCATTGTGATCCCCCCCTTCTTTGTTTTGAATGATGCTTGGATGATTCTGGATCCATGAGTTCCCCATCCTACAAGTGCATTTCGTGCTACTTTGGACAGCATTAGAGCGACTCCCTGAGTGTGTGGAGCATTCTCCTCTTCGTGACCGGAATATAGCAGCATCTCTCTCGTAGCCAGCCTTTTCTGTCCAGCTTGGGTCCAGTGGGTTTCGCTGATTCCCAGTACTGCCAAATTGTATCTCCCCACATTGTTCGGACGTTCCATGTACCTACAAAAATTTTTGCTCTGGTTGTTAGAAGGGGCATCGGCCTCGTAGCTTCGGAAGGAACTCGTCTTTTATCAAGAAGCGTTATAATTCTTCTAAATGAAGACCTTCCAACTCCCAGGGCAGAGTTAAAATGGTTTGGATTATTTTTTCTGGTAAGCGTTTTTTTAGCGGGTTAGTTTTCTACGGGATGAGGACGCTGACCCCATGCTCAACCCTCCTGCTTTACCCGGACTTGGGACTGGCAGTAACTCTAGAAGAACTACAGGCGGAGTTACTGTAACTAGACTAGCGTCCCATAAATATACACACTTACTTTCAGTTATCGACAGTGAATTGTGTGAAATTATGAGAAAAAACTCAAGAGATCTAGATAAGAATTATACTGGTAAATCAAGAAATGGATTTAGTTGAACAGCTGGAGCTGAATACTTACGTTTGACATGATTTTCATCGTAATTGTATGCGCTAAATATTCATACTTTTGCTTAAAGTTATTTATCACTTTACATTCACAAGGCAATAGATAGTAAAACAATCTATTAGTACACCGATTAAGACTACTTATGAGTCAGTAATCTTATATTCGATTTTACCCATTTTTTACCTCAGAGCAATTCATTTTTTCACATTTCAATTTATGTAAATAATTGAAGACCACCAAACTAGTTCATTCATACAGAGGAAGAGGAAGCAGTAAAATGCAATGATGAATTCATGAAATCATCCATTTAATTTAGTTCTTGCTTTATTTAAATTTGTTAAGGGAACTGATCGGGTAAAAATGTAAAACAATGTACAGTCATAATGAAAAAAGGAGATTTGAGAAAAGAGTTAATTCTCTCTAATTAGCATTTTTTAAACATCAAATGATCATTTTTACTCTACTCAAACATGAGTACATAGATAAATAATAAAAGTTATCCGATTTCAAACATTAACAGAATGTTGCTATGAAATAACTGAGAAAGTGATAAACTAGTTGATGTGATAAAATAGTGATAGAAATTTACTTGTCTATGACCACATATACACGTCTTTAAAATGACGTGTATCACATGACATAAATGTTAGTATATTGTTGTAGAGATTTCTGAATTTAATTAAAATCATGAACTGATCAATGTTAGACCATCATTGAAGACGTAGAAGCAGTACACATAAAGCGAACTGTTGAGGAGTCCTATACTGGGGAGAAATGGTAATTCAGATTTTGAATGGTGGTTTTACGTTGTTCAGTTCATGGTTAAAGTGAAACAAGATTTCATTGCTTTTAACGTAAACATATGCCTAGAAAGTTGAAACTCCAAATTATTTCATAATGAATCTATCTCGAGATTATGTCTATAATAATTATTACAGTTTAAATAAGAGAGAACATTTGGTTCACACTTTTTCTGCAATCGACTGTATCGTTGTTCCGTTGATGCCATACCAAAAAATAAATTTCTGTTCACCATTAGCATGACTTTTGTGCTTACCGATTCAATCGGTAACACACCACATTACTCCTCTAATATGTACAAACAAACCATAAAATTATTGATTTTTAATTTTTTTCAGTTATGTGAGAGTGGATTACGGCCCATTATGCACCATCAATCAAAATGCTTATTGTGTAAGTCTACAAAATAGTAAGTGTTCTGTTGTACACTGTGTTCAGATAAAACTGTGTCAGGATTGTTTTCTTAAATAAAAATTGAAAATAAACATGCTTGATCCCTTATACAATTATGGTAAAATGCATTAAAACCAATTTTCGAGTTGTTAATGGCAACATAATGAATGCAGTAAGTAGTTTCGATCAAAAACTTAAAAACTTCATGAAACGTAGTTGCACAAAATTTTGTGACAAACAACAGAAAAAAATTAGTAACTAATTTAAGTGTAGTTAGTAACAGATATACAAATCAAAGTTTACATTTCGAATCCAATCAAAATTAACACGGACTAGATTTCACTTTCAACATGATTATCTAAATATCCTCAGTAGCTTTGATAGTGAGGATTTCTCACTACCCTCAAATCTAAATGTCTGTCCAAGAGTTAATCAGAATCAACTTTCAGTTGAACACCAGAAGGTAAAGTGTTAATTAGTGTTGAGCACTCCATTATTGTCAGTATTATTTTCACTACTGATGGTTCGTTAGGCCGTTCGAAGACCATAGTAGGCATATGACTGCCAATCTGAAGACGAATATAGTAAACATCAAAATGAGCTCAGTTAATTTACAGGTATTTGATGGTGATTACATTCTAAGATGATATGGTAAACATCAGTCGTTCTTTGAATCCTAGTGTGTTCGTAATTTTTCGGATTTTATCTTCTTTTGAAACAAAATGTAGTAACTATTACCGTCATTTATAATGATCGAGTCATTCGCCTTGATCTTGGTGAGATACACGTCATTGGAATATTTTAAGGTTTTCCGCCGAAATTCGCAACGAAATTATTGGCATTTTCTAGTATTAGACAAAATATAAATAAAGTATCTTTGTAATGAAAGTGTCAAGTAATAAGGTTACTTACAAATAAAAACGTATTTGACTTTTATGATAAGGAAAACACTGAGTGATAGTGACACACTGTTAGTTTAGGTCACTTTTAGATTTCAAATTCAAATTATTGACCTGACGTATGTATTTATGATCGATTATTTCACATTTTAATATCCACATTAAATTCCTGCCAATTTTCCGGGAAACGGATTTATTTATTCATTCACGAAATTCACGAAATTGTAACTCACCTACTGATCATCAATGGAAAAGACATAATTTATGTTAATCCTGACATTTGGCCTATTGATACGACGCTTAAGCAGTAAGATAATTCTTCGAATACAACAGTGATTTGTTGATGATATGAGAAATCAATACAACACTGTAATCAACCATTTTTCTGTTTTTCATTATTTTCTTACACCATAACAATGTCATTCTATTTTATTGCGTAGACGCTATTTAAACATACTCTTTATGTAATGGGAGATTGCAATGCGACAACGACAATAAACTACGCTTTCCCAACATTTGTTAATATCAGTGGGAGTACAAAAAATTTTACCGCCCCGACTTTGGTATTGAGTCCAATACCAAGTTTCCCAATATACACCGACGTAAGCTGTAATTGATTTTGAAATAATTTCAACTTCTTGTTATTACTCAAACCGTTTCTTATTTCTATTTGTTCAACACAGTTCCGATTTAGTTATGTTTTACGTAAAATTATTACATAATGTGAAGACAAATCTACAGATAATCCAATAAAATAGAATCTTAGTTTTGCAAGTCCATTAATGATAACAATAAGATAAGAAGCATTGGTTTGGAGAAGGGTTCTGTTTACGGCGAATTCATTTTCAAAGCTGTACAACCGCAAACATTTACTTATTTTTCAAAGTGATCATAACTACGATAATAGTAATAATAAAATTTTGCTGAACGTGGTAACAGTGCGGTGAAATAAACATGTTTTTACTAAAGAAAAATGATAATAATACGTTTGGTGAAACCTTCAATATTCATCATGAGGATAAATAAAGAAATTATAATTGGATGGGGAAAGCTCAGCATGATAAGATAAAATGCTGAAATTGAGATGAATTGTATTTAGTAGGACCATAGAAACAGAAAAAAATCAAGGGTCTTCAGTGAAGATAGAAGTGAAGTAGATGATCATGAAAGAAGGAACGAATAAAAAGTTACGAGAGATTAAGGTCATGGTACACACACATACACAGCAGATGTTTCTGAAATGCCAATACAACTGCCTCTGACAGCTTTCCACTTACCTTGCAAATAACTTTGAAAGCAGAGTCAATTTGCATTGAATGACCTGTGTTCACAAGGTGTTCAATTGTTGAGCTTCTTATTAAGCCATTCTCGCCTCTTTTCAGACAGTTCTTGAATTCTTTTGGATGAAATACGCATCGGATGACCCGAATACCTGGCTCCACTGAACATTTGTCGGTTAGGGAACAATGTCACAAAGTTATTTCGATGAATATTCTACTGAGAGAGAGTCGGGAATTACCTTATTCAGGATGCCTGTAGCTATATCACCTTTGAAGTCGATCTTCGTATAAAGAGTTTTCTTTGGTAAGGAGGCTAGTTGTGCTTTAAGAGGTTTGAGTTTTATATTCCTTCCAAAAAATACCGATGGAGATCCGTTTTCTACAGTTATTCTCTTTAGGTGGTTCATTTCGTTATCTATGAACTCGAGACAACAAATTCTAAATTTTCGGTTGGCTAGGAGTATGATTTAGTGTCGATTTCAACTGATGTGGATCCTGACGTGAAAGCTTTATAGCTGACCATTACATGAAGGTTTCTAGTAAATAGATCTTTTTACAGTTTCTTCATGATTTACTGTTACTATGATATCAAGAGAGTGAATACTTTGTTTATTTTCAACTTCTAGTGTGAAATTTATTGCTGTGTGGTAGTAATCAAATGTTTGCAGAAGATGATTAATCAAATAATATTTGTTGTTGCAAATGATAAATATATCATTCACATACCTTTTATATCAGTGGGAGTTGTCAATACTCGCCTTAAGTTATTTGTTTTCCACATTGATTAAACTATATAAAGACAATACAGACCATGAAGTATAGAACAATCACTGTATATCATGTTAAACAATAAAATAAAAATGAAGCACATAATAACTGGCGAAATAATACCAACTGAGTAGAGAAAGCACATATTACTTTTCGATCACCCAATACATGAGCAAAGTAATCAAAGTATACTGTTCAACATAAAACTGATGAATTACTATAACATTTCTCTATAAACTGTCACTGAGAATGATTAAACATGCTTCTAAACTACATTAATTGGTTGAAGGTTAAGACCATGAATTCTAACGATGAATTTTAACAGTCAGAAAATAGACTCGGATTGTAACTTCCACTTATTCGTCTTAAATACATTGATATTATTTGAAATTAAATGTCTATGCATAAACCTAGGTTGAGATATTGAACAAACCACAAAAATCACATAGTACTTCAAGTTTGTATCTGATATCAGATGCAACGGTTGGAAATCGGTGATCAGTGGATTATGCACTGAAAACGTTCATTCCAAGCTTGTCGCCATCCGAGTATAGATATCCACCTCTGAATACGTACATGAATTTTATTTATTTAGGCTCTATACATTCTTGAGATCATCATTTGTCTAATTATAGTAGTTTCGTAGTTGGACTACTATATTTCAACCGAGGTGTAGTTAAACACGGTGTTTCATTAAAACTTCTATAAAGAACATCAGACAAAGACTTGTCATTTTGAAATTGTCTTTTTTTACTTCAAGTAACATCTGTACCTTAAATAATAGTCAACCAGTTTTGTTAGATTAAAGCTTAGAATATTTCATTTCAGATTATGATTGAAGTAAGTCCATCTAGTGTAACGCTGCAGCCAGGTCAAATAACAACTATCAATGTGAAATATATATTCCCACTGAACTCCACCTATTTGAAATCTACAATACAAATCAGTGGAACTGGAAGCAACAACACTAATGAATCTATAATAACTATTACAGATTTTAGAATAAGTTTGGGTTCTAACTTATTTTACACAACAACTGCTTACTCATCTAATTATTTGTCCACTTATCCAACCGATCAAAATGATCAGTTGTTAATATACTTCGAAAATATCATAAACAATGGTGAGTTTAACGAAAAACTACGGTTTGTCGGTTCATATATGCCTATTTCTTGGGTAATTGTCATTACTTACACTAATAAAATTTAATATCATAGATATGTTTCTTAATTCATGAAATATCATAAATATTACACTTGTCAATTTGAGCAAAATATGTTTATTCTTAACGGATAGTGTTATGCAACTTCTTTTGCAGTTAAAATATTTTACCAAAATATTACTTGAGATGACATATGAGAATAGGTCTATGATATTTTCCTTACCACTCCAAGACTGAATTATCTTTACAACGAAAGTTTAAAATCTAAGTCGAATAGAATATTACTAGTGTAGTGAACGAACTCCATCGTTGTTTCATTGCTATTACAATCACTCTCTCTCTCTATTCCCATTCTCTTCAACTCGATCTTCTCAACCTTCTGCTATCAGTCATTCCACTTCTGATTGGTGTTACAAACTACTTATGTCAACAGACATAAGTGGCATACACCACACTAGTGTACAAGATCAAAGTTAGGCAAGAACATATCTCTAAAACTATTACTGAAACACGTGATTAAATACAGTGAAATAAGTTGAAGTATTTTGGAATAAAATTTGACAGAAAAACACTAACACTAGCTTACTGTTTTCCTTGAAATTTTGATCTTCATTTCATCCTGTAATTTTCCATGGCCTACCTCACAGTCAAAAATATCTGGCTTTATACATGTTCTAACTAATAAACACCAGATAAGCAGTAAACTGAATACTGTCCTTTAACTTCTCTCCAATCAGAAGAATGTTGTTAAACATTCATGGATATGGCCCAAATCTTGAGGAATGTTTATGTACAAAAAGACATCGCAGCTGAACATCTCACCCTTACATTACAGAAACTAAGACAGCGATATAAATTCTTTCTGTGTGTAAACAATGAAAATGTTCCACAATGAAGGTTAAAGCGCCGGACATTCGCTTTTCGTCCTCTCATTTTTGTAAACAACACCCCCGCCACGAGAAGGCAATGAGTAGGACTTCCCTGGCAGAGGCTGTATACGTGCGGCAGTGTGAGAGTATTTCGAGAGGGAGAGCGGACTCACCCCACTCTCGGCCGTACCAGGGCATTCGGGGGCTAAGTAGAATACACCACACTAGAGTACAAGATCAAAGTTAGGCAAGAAAATATCTCTAAAATTATAACTGAAACACATGATTAAAAACAGTGAAATAAGTTGAAGTATTTTGGAATTAAATTTGACAAAAAACACAACACTGGCTTACTGTTTTCCTTGAAAGTTTGATCTTCATTTCATCCTGTAATTTTCAATAGACTACCTCACAGTCGAAAAAATCTGTGTTTATACATGTTTTAACTAATAAACACCAGATAAGCAGTAAACTTATAACTGTCCTCTAATTTCTCTCCAATCAGAAGAATGTTGTTAAACATTCGTGGATATGGCCCAAATCTTGAGGAATGTTCATGTACAAAAGGACATCTCAGCTTTACATTACAGTAACGAAAACAGCGAGATAAATTCTTTCTGTGTGTAAACAATGAAAATGTTCCACAATGAAGGTTATTAACAAACAGTAACCAAGATATCTCATGAAAATGCAAGCAAATTCATTGCCATTATGTGAAGTGCAATAAAATAAACTGATTTGTTGTTTGTCACCACTATCCAATGTATTGTAACTTACTACTTGATTGATTATTTGACAGTACCGTTTTGAATTTTATTGTTCTTGGTTAGCTCCTAACCAATTTAGTCCTGATATCTAAAACACTCGCTGTTAATTCAGAGTGAATAAAGTGTTCAGCGTCTTCTTCAATGCACAATCTAATAAAAATTATCACCTATTTTAGGTACGGTAAGTGTACCCTTAATGCGAAACACTCTCAGTCTTTCAGTGGATATCCAGTTGAGTGATAGTAAAATTGTAGAAAACGGAACTGTTTGGCCGTTGCAAATCACTGGTCGATTCAATGCTGTCACTAATATTAGCAAAATATCTGTGAGTTGTGTAAGAACTGGGTCAGAAAAACCATCAATTCAGGTTGTACTATCTCAACTGTCATCGTTCACATTCAGTGATTATCCTGATAGGTATGTTTAAGTCGTTCTAACCTTTAGTATATACTTATTTCATGGAATAGTTGGTTCACTTCTAACGCGAATTCATTTTTCACTTGAATATCAATTTTATATAAAACAGTCATTGTATTGATCAGATAGTGTCCAAATGCCCATAATAATGTTCCATATAAACGATTACGCTGATAACTACTCACATGAAGAGTACAAACTTTGGTCTTGAACAAAGAGTTTGAAGATCTGTCTGTTATTCACCAAGCAGTACAAATATCATGCCCAAATTCAGATGCCCGAATGAATTAGTTTTATTCGTCTTAATTTGGTTTCGAACCTCATTAATAATGTGTAACCTTCAATGTTAATGTTCTCGGTCTTAAATTTCCTTGGAAACCTTTCTCATAACACCTTAAAACCAGACACACAACTCGTTTAAGCATCCGTTAGTTGAAACACTGTTTATGCATACAAATAGTGTCTTAAACAGATATGGCTGTTGAGTTGTAGTTATCTCAGCACAAAACATTTTCACTTTTGTTAAGTCAATCGACCTGTCAAAGATAATAGTTAAGCATGGAAGGTGATATAGTTGTTTCTCAAAACTCTCATGAAATCATTATTGCTTTCTATTCATTACCATTTACTTCGAACCAACTAAACTCACGTTCACTGAAAAGTGAAAAAATGGAGTAATGAAGAAGGCAGAAGTCGGACATTGTTCTCCGTGATACCTCCAACAGTTACCGAATTTGACTTAATTTCAACAAACAAACCTAATGTTATCATGTTTCCTCATGAACCAACTACGTTATATATCTCTGATACACAGTAAACAATCAGCTGGGAACATTTAACTGATGGAACTACCCACTCGTTTGCATCAACAGCTAAAATAATTCTCTTTGAATTTAAGAAAAATAATTCATTATACGTTTTACAAAATCTCTGACAATACTCGACATTGTATGATTAGGTTAGCAATAAAAAATCGTATTATTGTACAAAATTCTAATAATTTCACCCTTTTCGAGCTATACAGTTCTACGCTGTACTTAAAATATTTAACTACTGAAATCTAAGTAGATGCGAAGTTATAAATATTCTTGCTATTTCTCTGCTGTTTGTAATCAGTTAATCCTATAAAACTAGATTGGAAGGCGTGTAAAACCGAATGTCGAATCCAACTACCATTTGAATTGAATCATTAGAATTTGAACTGTTTTACTGATTGATATGAAATAACTCTCTACATATTATACATTTTGTTTAATCCAATACTCAGAGATGTGGTGTATCTTCAGACAACCGTTCAAATGATGAATGGTACCGGATTGGAATGTGAAAGACAATCGATAATTTTCTATCTCAGTCCAGAAATAAAATCAATCATTGTAGTTAATCAAACAGGCAACATAGATAATGTAACATTGAAAACTCCTTTAAACCCAGTAACTAAATCAGTTCAGTTCATAGTAAGTTTCTGTGTTTCAAGACATATTTTGAAAATAATGTTATTCAATTTAACTCACTCAAAATTTAGTTGAAGCATTTAAAAGGGGTTGAATTAATTTTCTGATTGCAAATGAAATTATCACCAACTAGTCTAAAACCGTTAACATAATCATATTATTTGAAGAAAAGAATAACTGGTAATATAGAGAAATACACATTTTGGCTTTCTAGATTTAAGTGATATATGAGATAATTGTACATAATGATCTAACAGAAACGAGTGATTTTCTTCTGTCCTATGTTTGATACCAAGTTATACAACAACTGACCAGTTGAACGTGACATATTTATAATAGACCACGCCAGGTGGATGGATCACAGTACTGCATCAAGCATCTTAGATACTCAATATGAGACAAGCGATTGAGAACCAAATATGAACCACACAATAATTTAATGTGTGTAATATTGGAATTGAAGTACGATTGGTTGTTGAGTGTGGACAAACAAACATAGCCTGCCGACTATTATATATGTGATTTCTTGAAACAATTCATTGTCATCGCATAAACGGAATTTCCTTTATAGTTGTATCGTAATTATATATCTGTTGGATAAAAAAGATTTGAGATTTTGGAGACGATTTGTAGCTCAGGTGGATCATTCTGGTGGGGTTTTATTCTTTAACCCAAATTGTTTTCTCTTCATGGAGTGATTCGACACTCCAAATACCAAACGAGAGTGCGTAATAATCAGAGGGTTAGAGAAGAATGGAGGGACGAGAATAATTTACAGGTCAGAATTATGAAAGACAATTGTCCTCTTTACAGATATGAAGAGAAATGGTAAATACAAAAGTGATAGTAATAACTGAGTAATGATAATAATGAAAAAATTGTTGGAGTATAATAATAACTGGGATGCACGTACATCCAGCTGCCTAGACCCAAATAGGGTGAAACGCGCGTCTTGTCTCCCACTGCTGGCCACCATCATCACTGCTTATAACTGATTACGGTCCAAAACTGCAAAACAATAATTTAGAAAAGGAAAGGAAGACCAAAATATACTACAGCAGGGAATTAGAGCCAGTGGAGGATGAGTGGGTGCACATGTTATTTTTGCACACATAGTTCAAGCTCGGATTTGTGAATTTCCAACGCCTCAACAGTGAATAAGTTTTTGACTCGGCCTTCCTTCAATCCAATTCCTTTGATTATTAAGTGTACCTGTATCGGACTGGTAACTGCTTTGCATTCTCCCTTTGAAAACCACGTCAGGTATTGTTCCGAGATGCGTTTAGAAAGTGATCGCTTTATGCGGCCTATGTAACCTGCTCCACACGAACAAGTAGATTTATAGATGCACATCAACATGAACAAAGGCAGAAGTTTATCCCTATAATGTCTGTGAATGGTAGGCCGGCTTGAGAAGACAAGACGGAGATTATTCGAATAGGTTTTATCCAGGGATTTTGAAATACGTTCCTATCTACTAATCTAGGTGGATAACCATTTCTGATGAATGAATGTCGAAGTTGAAGTAGTTCGTCAACCACTTCATCATCAGAACATTCCCCCAGACCTTGAGGATAAAGAGTGAATCAAGTTTCTTTTTCTACTCAATAAGATCCAACTATGGAAATCCGTATAACGACCATTCCAGGTCAATTTTTATATACAGATCCCTGTAAAGAACCGCATGAGTTTTTCAACCGGACATCAAGAAAATGAAATTCCTCATTCGCCTCTGTTTCCAACATGAATTAAATTGAGTGAAGACAACTATTGAACCAATCCGAAATTTCATTGTGATCCATTTTTTCTTCACAAATTATGAAAGTATATGGTGATCTGAAGTATTCGAATTTATGTGCTAACTAAGAACTCCCGAAATAGAGCAATTTAACTTAAGTAAAATAAGCTGAGACAAGGGAACGCATTATATTTGGAATTGATAATCAGCGGGCAGTCAAGTACAAAGCAATCATTAGTTTGTACAAATACCACAACCACCACAGCTTAAATAGGAACCTAAATTTCTGTAATCGATTGCACTTTTCCTTAAGTTCATCATGTGTTTGTCCGATTGTGTATTGGATGTAGATTCTGCATGATCTAGGATGTGCTCATTAGTATTAGAATTAAAAACCGGAATTGGAACCGATTCACTTGGTTCCTGGAATTTTATTTGTTCAACAAATCGGTTGTGTGTACTTAAATCATTGTCATCTAGGATTTCAACCATGGATTTTGCAACATTCTTCACCACAATTTTCATGACTGGTCGAAGATCATTTCCACGATAACATGTAACACATGGAGACTCTAAACGCCTTATATTCGAATGAAGGATTCTTCCTTTTATCAGCTTTGTTGGAATCTCTTTCGTTACAGAATGCTTAGCATTTCCATATTGCAGTAGAGCTGTGTCTACTCCTCTCTCCAGTCCATCAAATGTGGAAGCAATAATGGGATTAATATCATTTTTCAATGTCCTGACGGAATGTTTTGCCTGACCATTAGCACAATGATGCCTTGAAACAGTGAACAGATGTCTACTCCCTATACGATTGAACCAGGTAGTGACTGTGTCTGCAGCAAAATGAGACCCATTATCAGTCACTAATACCATAAACTATCATCCATACATCTCTTAGATAAATGAAATCTCTCAATTATCGGTCGAAGTACTGTATTTTCCAGATTATCCATGAAACAATCAGCCAAGAGGGGGTGAGCTAGTGACGAACCCATTGCAATTTCATTTGTTTGTCCATAGAAATAATTACTAAACCTGAATTGCACATTGAGGGTACATCGTAGAAATAGCTATTCTAGATAATGTTTTAGGGTACTAATATCAATGTTGTTATTTCAATATCGTAACATAAAAATCACATAATTTCTGTGAGTGGAACATTTGTAAAGAGAGAAGTGCCATACAATGAGATCGTTGACAATGATATTTCTGAATCGACAAAATCAAACGAATCATGAGCGTTGTATCTATTGATGTGATTTCTCACGGGTTGTAGAATTTCAGCAAACCATTTAGCAAACAAATGATATAGAGAGTTATTCATATCAAGTATAGAACATAGGGAGATGCTCTTCTTCTGAACTATTGGGAGTTCATATATTCCTAGTATAGTGGAACATGATGGTCTAAGACGTTCATAGAGGTCACAATTGATAATAAAGTCATCTTCCATCTCCTTCATGATTTTAGTTAACATCTGTTTCGTTTTCTCAATCGCATCTTAGAGAATTTGACAGCATCAGATACTATCAAGAATAGTTTAGTGACATAGTGCTGAACATCCATAAGGACAGTTCCTTCAACCTTATCTGGGTGAGACTGCACTAAATCCTGATTTTTCAGAAAATGAAATAATTGAGACTTATGTTCCTTTGTGGGTAGTCGTCTAGTTACAGATATCGTGATTACATATTGAGTTCATTAATGATAGTTGACGTACTGAGAAACTGAGGGCCAATTAATAATTCATGTAACTGAATAGTCAACAATGTTATACACAACTGCATTTGGTATTTCGAATCTTGAATCACTTTATGATGCAATCTTTTCTATCCTTCTATAGACATATATTTGCCATATAACTATAAATACGAATGTGTAGTTTGAGTAAATGATTGAGTGGAAAAGAAATTTTATTTTGCTGAATCCTTTTTATATGTGATTTCTTTCAATCTTATTGATTTCTGTTTATGATGACTGTTTATAATTGTATTGAATGAGGTATTATCTAGTGTTATTCTGGTTTCTCATTCTTCGTCGTGAATCCTGATTCTGATGTAGCGTGGCTAGTTATATTATTGTAGTAAACATGAGAGAGAAAAGAATATTTTAAACAATCCGTTATATCAGAAAGTTGGATGGTGGCTAGCAGTGCCATCTAGGACGAGTCTCAAATAGGACGAAATACTCGTCTTGGATTTCACTGCTAACCACCATCCACCTCTGCTTATAATGCTTGTGACGTAAGGCAATATCGAAGCAATCTCCACAGAATGCAGGCATGTCAATAATTGACTTATCAATGGCACTTCTAAGCAGCAATTGAAAGATTGAAACAAATAATCCAAACTGAATTAATAATGAAAATTTGATCAGTTAACACTCAGTGAAATCAGAGTAGACGTCTCTTGCAGAAATCATTTCATAACATAATATAATCACTTTTATTCATTATAATCAAACATTTCTATCTTAACTCACTAACCAATTACTACTTATTTCCATAAGGTATATTACAACGTTTTAGCGATCGTTTTCTACTTGATCAATATAATGAATAAACTAAAGTTACCAGTCTCGTCTTCAATGTTCGATAAGTGCTCAATTTTCATGCACATTCAGGTGTGAGTGAGTACTCCATACAACATTAGAACTATCACTAGTTTTTATCTCAGACTTTTGGAGTTGTCTGCAGCTATCTGCTATGAATATGCTAGTGTTGCGCATTACGACATACCGGATGGAAAACACAAACTCGTTGAAATCTTATGCCTGAAATAAAATTTACGATCAAAATTACATTCCCTACAGGGCACTCCACTCAGTAAATGAACTAAAAGGTACTAGAAAATGTTGTATACGTCATAGTTATTGAACACTAAATACGTTAATGATAACTTCCTTCCATTCGGTCTGTTAACCAAATATGGCAAACGTTCAGTCAACTGAATCGTGAAGTTTTTATTATCAATAAACGGTCTGTAATATTTGTTCCACAATATCAATGAAGTATTCTAAGGGCACTTCATGATTTGATTTCATTGTTCAACCGCATTGCTACATAAAAATAATATTTCTTCTACCAGTTTCTGGGTCATAGTCAAACATTTTCGATTTCAAATTTCGATTTTACAAGTGAAATATCACTCTGCAATACCTTTCTAAAACAAAAGTTGTATTTTTGAAGGTATTACAGGAGACAGATAAAACACCTCACTTCCATGTTTCATATCTGTTTACCATTAATTGCTGTATATAGTTCCAACTCGAGGGAAATCTATTTAACCACTGCAGTCATTTCAAATTTTAAGTTTCAACTGTGAAATACTTTCAATAATGCTCGTCAAACATTCAAACTCATTTAAATCCATCGAAACATTGTTTCATTTACCTAACCGAGAACACGAGATCGATCTAATATCGGCATTCACTGTCATTTACTGTACTAATGAAACTTCCAAGGTTTGTTTAATTCCGTTCACCAAATATAGGGGAGGTAAATTATATTAGTTTTGTTTGCCTACGTTAGTCATCATTTGAAATCGTCTCATATCACAAAACGAAACATGAATTTCAAACATATATCAATTCTTGTTCTGAAACAACACTTAAGGATGTTATTTTTATCGTTTCAGGCAGGACGTTTATATTTTGGTGCCAAGTATGAAGTCATCTTTAGTCTGAAATTTAATCCACCTCGTAGTACAACCATTGTGAAATATCCAATTCTAGTCGAAATTGTGTGCAAACCCTATGAACGTGGTAGTCCCGTAGTGAATAGCTGTGCAAAACAAAGGTTTTACAAGTTCAAATCTCATCTGCGTGTTCAACTTGACTACACATGTGAGTTTTATCGGTGTGTATTTTTCCAAATTCATGTTATGATTATAAATCAACACTACATACCAAGGAATGACTGTATTATGGGAAATACGTTTACCCTGTATGTCGGATATGTTATCTTAAATGGAAAATGCTTTCTTCAGATGAATTGCTTTCTACTTATCATCGCTAAAATTTCCGCTGTTGTGAAAAAGATTTCAATCTTTGCATTGCATCCGATTATCATACTGTCATCAAGTATTCACACATACAAATACAACGTCACAAGCCATAATTTTTCTCATGCTACTGAAACCACAATCATTATCAAAATGTGAGGTGCTTGTTAATTGCCTTCAGAGAAAAGATGAGTTAGTCCTCATATAGAGTTATCAATTATTTGGAGGCTTTCCATAATGATATTTCTTCTGATCATACAAAACTGCTAGTAATGTACAATCGCAAACAAAAGATAAAAAGAAAAACACTGATCTTCTTGTTGAGAAGTATCAACTAAATATGTTTACACTGTAACTATATGCAGTTCTCTTGCACTCCCCTATTAAAATGACCTCGAATTTCGTCAGTCATAACCATAAGGAATATTTGTCATTGGTTACTTATCTACAGTCACATCACATTACTGTGAAAGAATTCTCTATCATTTTATTGATTTTTGGGATAGTTAAAATAATTCTCAGTGACTGTGATGTGTTATTCAACAACATTGTCTTGTATTGACCTTTTGCATTCAGATCCTCCCAACTTACCTCATTACGTTGCAATGCGGAACCCTTTGGTACAGTTGCCCGACCGTCAAGCAAATACATTTCTAAACGTTGGTGATCTTTTGTTTTATTGTGCACGTGCGTTTAGTATAAAGGGTTCATTAGATTTGGTGAGACGATGTTTCAAGATTGGTAAATTGCCTGAAAGAATTTGGTTTGGTAAGTAATCATAGACAATCTGTTGTGTTTTATTATTCAACAGTGGATATTTGAAGTTTAAAACTAAAAACTTACGTCTGTTACCCCTAGTGTAGGAGCATAGGCCACCCACTAGCATTCTCCATCCAACTCTGTCCTGGACAACCCTTCCCAACACTACCTAATTCCTATTCATTCTATTCATATCTGCTTCGAACTCGCGACGTAGTGTGTTATTCCGCCTTTCTCTTTTCCTCTCGCTTTCACGATTCCCAGTCGGCACTTGCCTCGCGATGCAGTCTGATGATTTCCTCAACGACTGTACTATCCACTTCCATCGTCTTTTCATAATTTCCTAATCAATTGAAAATTGGTTTGTTCTCTCCCACAGTAAGTTGTTGCTGATGGTATCCAGCCAACAGAAATTGAGTATCTTTCGTAGACAACTGTTTATAAATACTTTCACTCTTTTGATAATGGTTGTAGTAGTCCTCCACGTTTCAGCTCCGTACAATAGAACTAACTCTATTGATATTTGCATCGAAGATTATGTCTTTGATATAGCTTGAGAGTTGTTTTGAGTTGCATATGTTCTTCAATTCAAGGAATGTTATCCTTGATTTACCAATCCTCACCTTTACATCTGCATCTGATACTCATTGTTCATCGAAGATGGACCACAGGTACGTGAAAGTTTCCACCACCTCCATGCCTTCTTTTCATCAAGTGTGATTGAGTTGGTGTCCTCTGTGATGTACTTAAGGATCTTGGTTTTTCTCATGTGTATGTTAAAGCCTACTAATTCAGCGGCTGCAGCAACACTAACTGTTTTCATCTGCATTTGTTGATGTGTATTTGATAGAAGGGTTAGGTCATGTGCGAAGCACATCCATGCAACACTTTGCACTATAGTCTGTCTCATTACTTCCGTATGATATTGGCGATCTTCTCAGGTACACCATAATGTCGCAGAAGTTTCCATAAAGTCCTTCTATCCACACTGTCACACGACTTCTCATAGTCAAGGAAGGTGATGTATGGTGACGAGTTCCACCAAATTGATCGTTCAACAGTGATCAGTAGCGAAGCGATTTGGTTTGTGCACGACCGATCCTTACGGAATCCAGTCTGTTGATCTCAAATTTCGGTGTCTACTGAGTCTTTCATCCGTTTCAGCAACACACTGTTGATAACTTTTAGTCACCCGAATCTCAAAGTTAATTGGATGTTTATTAAAGTTATCTTTTATTTCAATTACGAATAATTCCTTTTTCAATTTTATAAAACTACAGAAATCCCAATAACAAGTAAACATATGTTTAAATCAATACTGAATATACTCCTAATGCAAACCTATTCCGTTCAACTGTAGTGAACGAGAACACCAGTAGGCACCACCAAATTCATTACAATATAAAATTATAGAACATCCTAGTAAAATCTGAGAACCACACAATAAATACTTCATTTGCGAAATGTCAATCAATCGTCTCATACTTGATTGTTCCTTCGTTTCCACTCCAACCATCCTCTATCCCTGTCCTCTGTTCTTCGATCTCAACTTTCTACCACCAGGCACTTCAATTTCGATTGATGACAAACACCACTTACATCTGTCGACTTCAGCAATCCACACCACACAACTAAGATTTAGATTAATCGACAAGTATGATGATTTCTTCAGAATAATCAACCTCTTGATATTCAGAGCTTATTACTTTGTAAAGGGAGAGTGTCCACTACCACCTCTGTTCGATTCTACATATTGCCCTATTTTTACCACATTCATGATGTGCTAACCTACCTTAGTTAGTTGACACCAGATTGTAAATCAATAGAATAACAATTATCAAAATTGATTATTCATGAATGTATCGACTCAACATCCGACTCAGTTTACAAGACTTAACGTATAAAACCAAACATTATCATAATGAAGGAAAACAAATGTTTTACATTAAAGACCGACACCACAAGCTAATTATGGCAGAATTTGTACTTGGAAGGAGGATTCATAATTCATTCTCTTCATATTTTACTATTAATTATACATGACTACTTGAACTGATATATACGGTCATAAGAGAATTTTTTGTTTACGTAGGACAAATAAAGTATTTTAATAAGTCATAACTACAAACGTTTAGTATTTTGAAGCATCCATTGTACAGATTTATAAAATACATAGTTACAAAGAACTTTGGCTCATCGAAAATTTTGTTTAAGCTTATTTTGACAAAACAATGTCAGATATGTTTCGACGGATTTCTTTTCGATTCTCAGATGTCGGACCATATGTTGAACAGATTATAGCGTACACAAATCCACTTGGCATATTGTTCGGTTTGGGAGCAAATGGTGGAGGTGTAATGATGAGTAAGGATTTGGGGAAAACATGGATTTCAATCAACTCATTCATGTATCAAAGAACTTTGAATAAGTCGACTGAAATCATTACAGCAAGTGTCATACCATGGATTTCATCAACTGGATCAATTGACAATACAGTGTCTGAGTCATTTTGCAAGATGCGAGTGGCTAATCAATGGAATGGTAAGTAATGTATAGTAGTAACCAGATGTTCAAACGTGTTTTCTGTCATCCCACATGAAATTGTGCATCAAAACCTAAGAGTTTTCAATATTTCTTCAAAGTTCAGAGTTATGACAATTCCAACGGAACACATATCTCTTGTGATATGCACTAGATAGCAATAACAATATGTGTGATTTTTACATCTCATATAGTCGGTTTTTCCATGAGTACATAATTCGTCTTTCACACGGTTGTCGTTAAATAGTAACTTTATTAATTCCTAATAATGCATAGCTTAATTTTTGTAATTTAATGCTCAAATGAAGACGTCAACACTACATTCACATTATTTTATTGAGGTGCACACAGATAAACAAGAAAATTTTAATCTGAATTGGTTTATTTCTATTGATTGATCCCACCGTTTGCATAGTTGTAAGATTTTACTCATTGTATACTGATTTGACTGCATTCTGCTATCTAGTATTGTTTAAATACGATAGATTATTATAGGAATTATTACAACAGATAGCCGGATTTCTATGATATACGTGTTTGGTTATACCGTGGATACAACACGCATTAGCCAACACATCGTAGCTTGGTTATAGTTCTGTTATTAACATTCGAAATATGTCTATCAAAAATGATACTTGGTTTGAAGTTTGAGAAGTGAGTTTATCAGCTGAATGATCACCGTTTGATCTTGTTTGTTTTTATATACATCTCCTATAGTATGCATCAACGCAATTTATGCAAGTCAATTTCTATTGGCAGACTGGACTAACACCTGTCCAAACATCAAGCCTTTTTAACCGATCAATCACTTTCAGTTGGAATACAAACTTTGTTCAAATATTTGTGCCTTTTCAATGTGTCCATTTTATGTTGTGTGCAGTAATAGAACATTTAGTTAATTTTCTATTATATTACTTATCCTACAATTAACCATTTTAAATAAAGTACATATTAATCACATTTGCTTTATATTCTGACCTAATGAAGAACGACTTAAGTAGGAATTTAGCAGACTGTTGGTTGTTATTTAACTATTTTCTAGTGTAAGAACAGGATTCTTGTAAATTATAGCTTCAGTAATATCTCGAAGTTTAGTTTCAAGAAGTTTGTTAATCTGTTTGATAATTATACTATAGCCTGTAACCATCGAACTATGACCCTTATTTTATTGAAGGATAAATTAGATTTTCAACACATACTTGAGTCATCTGATGCAACTTGAATATAGTCAGTAGAATTTGCATACTAGTATTTCAGGAAATAAAACATAAGAATAAAATTAAAGACCTTCTTCCAGGCTGAATGCTTCCTCACGCAGATTGATAAAGTAAAAGGAAGTCAACTGGATATGTTGTCTCAGATATTTCGTTACTACATATCAATCTGTTTTCCAACTGGTATAGCTATACACAAAAAGAAAGTGTACGTAACTTGGATTAGTATTTATCACAGATAACATCCATTTTAAACAAGTTGTATGATTGCTCTGCGCCCTCTAACTTGGACAAACCACTAGAAATTTATTCCACCAGACTCTCGTATTTTATTTGCAACACTATTTACTAACGCTCCATAAACACTATTCAGTGTGACAAACTACATTCCACCGTAAAACTATCGATTACTAAAATCATTATAGCCTATATTTGCAGTTCTTCCTTAGATCTGAGCTCACTCGATTACTCACGAGGTGTTTAACTTCCGTTGTATTAGCTTATGAAATTCTACATAAAAACTATCCTTGTTTAACATGGTTACTCTCCACAACATGATATTTTCATTGCTACATTCTTCATTTGACCGATGAAAGAACCTAACGTTATTTCATGGTGAAAATACTGCCACTGTATATTGCGTCCAACATGGTCTCTAAAGTTTTGCAACTACCCAATGTTGTAGGTGTTACATCTGTGCACCCTATATTGAAGTGTTCATAACAAAGTCGTTGCTTCAATCAGTGTTCACGAGGAACTGACTCACTAAAGAATTTAAATTTAATACCGTGTGCAATATGTTTTGCCTTATAAGCAGTTAAATTGCAAGAGTAATCTTTTAAAAATTTGCTTTTATCTCTATCCAAGTCAGTTATATTTATATAGCATATCTATCTGATGCATCAGGCTATCTGCCAAAAGTTACTTTATTGGTAGCCACTATTGATAGAAAACCGTGATAAATTATGTTGCAAGTATCAAACTAAAATTTAGTACCTAATAGATTACTTCCTGGCACAGAATAAACTATCGACAAGTTTTACAAAACCAAAACACCCGGTACACCAAAATTAAAGTAAATCGTAAAATGACTATTACAGAAGTATTTTAATTCACATCATGCACTAAATAACTTTTAGAACTCCTAGCATAGTTACACTGTCAGGATATTCTTTCTACTGATAATGTAACAACTTACATTCAAATCAATAATAGAAATCTAAATGAAATGGATTACATACGTTATTCGTTTTGCGATTTCAGTTGGCCAATCCACTTCACAACTCTCTATGACCACATGCTGGTAATTTAGCTGAGATTTCTCTTGGTTTTTGAATTTAGGTGTTTTCCAGTCTCTTTCCGTTGATATTTGAAGTTTATTTTTACAAATGTGTTGCTAATTCAGTATTGAATTATTAAAAGTGTATGGTATAGTTCCTTTATAAGTCACGTTTATTGTACTAATGTTGACTTAAATCTATATTCACAATAAGATTGTAAGCCAGTCACTAAGTAAGTAGTAGTCTAATTTTATTCATCTTTAGGTATTGTGTTGAACGCTTGATAACTAGTAATCCTTAGGTTTTGTTCATCTATGGTCGTTTTTTATTTGGTTTGTCTCTTTGATTCGCTTGAAATACAATAAACTTCAACACTAACCATCTTTACTTCTGGTTTTAAATCATGGACAATATTTAAAGCGAATGTGTTCAAGTCATCTACGGATACTATCGTATTTCGGTTAGGTGTATCTACTATGAGATTATCCAGTATGATAAGATTTATTTAATATTCCGCATTGGAACATACAATTAAATCAGCTTTCTAGATTCCTGTGGTGATGATGAACTGGATACTACGTTTTATTGAGTTGAAAGTTGAAGTGTAGATTTGTATGATTATCAATCGTTTTCCTTCATATTCTCCCTATTCTTAAAATCTAGACCTTGCAATTTTCAGAACAAACGACATGATATAACAACTACTTTCTTCGTCAACCTTAGTGTTACAGGAAATGTGCACCAACGTCCGCCACAGCTTAAATTGGAGTCTAGGTGTTTGTAATCAATCGTACGTCTTCTTCTCAAATTCATCCTGAATCTGTGTGACATTGTATTGGAAAAAGATTCTGTATTATCTAGAATGTGCTCATTAGCATTAGAATTAACAACGGAAATAGTATTTGATCAACATTTCGACTGTGTGTACTTAAGTCATTGATGTCTATAATTCGCACCATCGATTTTCCGACATTCTTCAGAACAATACCCGTAGATGGTCGAAGATCATTTCCCCGATAGTATGTAACTTGTGCAGACTCCAAACATCTCATATTCAACCGAAGAATTCTTCCTTTCAGTAGCTTCGCTGGAGTCTCCTTCGTCACCGAATGTCTGGCATTTCTATATTGCAATGGAAAGGTATCTCTCCTTTCTCCAGCTCATTAAATGTTGAGGCGGCTATAGAATCAATAACAGTCTTTAATGTCCTGACGAAATTCTCTGCCTGACCATTAGAACACGGATGTCTGGGAGCAGTAAACAGATGTATGCACCCTATACCGTTCAACCAGGTATTGACTGCATCCGCAGCCAAATGAGAGCCATTATCAGTCACTAACACCATAGGAACCTCTTCTCGACTAAACACCTTTCTTAATGCTTGGATTGTGAAATCAGAATTTGGTGAAGCTGTAAAAAAACTTCAGGTCACTTTGAAAAAGAATCAATAACTACCAGTGCATAGTATTTGCCAAGAAACGGACCACAATAGTCTGCCAGGCCTCAGACGAAAGTTCATCCAGCTTTGAAAAATAATCAGGAAATCTACGTTTCAAATTAGCACTCCAGCCTTTCCGTATAGCACTGAGCATACTTCCAAAATATCTACGAGTTTCTCCAATGAGATCTGGACGTCTCACTGGTAAAAATTTCACTAACAAACAATCCGAAGTATTAATAGGTTTATCTTGTAATGACTGTCGAGAAATGTAGTCAACATGTTGAATTTGTTTGGCACTTCTGTGCTGAAACGTATAGTCATATGCACTCAAAACAATACTCCATCGTTGAAACATAGCAGCTGAGGAACGTGCTAAATATTTTTCAGGATGATAAATAAACTTTAAAGCTTCATGATCAGTAACAATAGTGAATTTCTTTCCGAATAAATATTTATAAAGTCTTTTAACAGCCCAAAACACCGCTAGTGCTTCTCGCTGAGTCTGTGAATAACCTTGTTCAGTAACAGTGAGTTTGCGTGAAACACAAATAACTGGTCTACCTTCCTGTTCCAAAACTGCACCAATTCCCACAGGTGGTGCATCAGTAATAAGCACAGAATGTACACTAGAGGAGTACGTTCGAAGAACAGCATCATTTTGAAGAAACTTTAGTAGATTCTGTAAGCATGACTCTTGTTCCTCACTCCATTTGAATGAATCGGATGTCAAAATATTAAATAAACAATTTGCACGACAAGAAAAATTAGGAATAAAACGGGAATAGTATTGAGGAGCACCCACTAGTGAACGTAGTTCCGTAAGATTTTTTGGAGACGGTGCATTTGTCAGTGGAGCTAGTCGTTTCATATCTAGTCTAAAACCATTACCATCAATTAGGTATCCAAGGCATTCAAAACTAGATACACAAAATGAACACATACTTGGATTCACTGTAATATTCTTCTCAATTAAACGACGCAGTAAAGCAATAAGTCTCTGGTCATGAACTACCTTATTAGAACCATGAACAATGAGATCATCTTGATAAACTTCAACACCTTCAAGATCACTAACTACTTTATTCATAACTTCCTGAAACATGGCTGGAGAACAACTTAGACCAAATGGAAGGAAATTGTATTTGAACAGACCAAAAGGAATGTTAATTGTCGTCAAAATAGATGAAGATTGATCTAAAGGGATTTGATGATAAGAATATTCCAGGTCAACTTTCGAGAACAATTTAGAACCATGAAGTCGATTGAGAATATCTTCAGCTTCTACCGTCGTGCACGTTTGCTTCAACAAACGGGAGTTCAGAGTTAATCTATAGTCACCACAAATTCTAGGGGTCTTGCCGTCCGACTTCAGTGGCGTAACGATAGGAGTACCCCATGCTGAAGACTGAATTGGTTCAATTATGCCTTTTGCACACAAATCGTTTAATGTCTTCTGTACTGCTTCTCGAAGACCATAAGGAATTATTCGTCTTTTAAGAAAGACTGGATCACCCTGTACTTGAAGTTTTATAGGCTGAATTTTCATACCTCCACTGCACTTAGCACACGTAGCTATTAAATCTTTAAGTAAAGTATCAGAATTTTCTTTAGAAACTAGGAAGGACAACACCACTTTAAGCCTTATCAACTTCCTTAAACCCAGTATCGACAGTCCTGTTTCGCTAACTGAAACTTCACAAGGTATGTATGAAGAATTGTGGTCTCTTATTAGCAATTCACAACATCCTCGAATGGGCAGTCTGTGTCCAGTAATCCCCAATATTGATACTTCAGTGGGTCGTACCACAACGTTAGGATCTAAGGATTTCAAGTTCTTGAATGAAATAATGGACTCTATACTGCCTATGTCCACAATGAAGTCATGAAATGAACCAAGCGATGTATATAGTCGCTTTTAAATATGAGCATTACCTTTCGAAATAGTAGACAAAGATAAGTGATCACTAGAAACATCCGAATTATTGAGATTTAAATTCCAAGATTTAGTACTACTTGAAGCAAACT